CGTGCCGCCGGGGCCGGAGGGGGCCGTGTCTGTCCGTCCTCCCCTGGGGCTGACTGGCTGCCCCCCCCCAGGGGGCCGTGTCCGTCCGTCCCCCCCCTCTCCGGGAGCCGGGAAGGAGCCGTGTGTCCAGCCCCTTTTCGGGATCTTTTCGTGCCAGCCAGGTTGTGCCCGTCCGTCTGTCCGTCCGTCCGTGCGCCCCTCCTGCTCCAGGAGGGCCACCGTCCGTCTGTCCCCAGGGCTGTGTCCTGTGTGCGTGTGTGTGTGTCCCCTCCGCGGGGGACATCCCTCCATCCATCCACCCCCGTCCCCGGACGGCACCGCTTCTCTGTCCGTGCATCCACGCGTCTGTGTGTCCCATGTGGGCCTGGCGGTGGGCGCTGGCACTGCTGGCGCTGGTGGCCTTGTCCCCAGGGCCATCAGGGGCCGAGGAGGGCCTGGACTTCCCCACATACGATGGCGTGGACCGTGTGGTGGCCGTCACCAGCAAGAACTACAAGGCGATGCTGAAGCGCTACCCGGTGCTCGCCCTGCTCTACCACGAGCCCGTGGGCAGCGACCGGGCGGCCCAGCGGCACTTTGAGATGGAGGAGCTCATCCTGGAGGTACCCTGGGGACAGGGACACGCTGGGGATGGGGACACGCGGGGCAGGGGGACACATGGTGTGGAGGAGCGGGGTGAGGGGGACATGGCGACTGGGATGGCAGGGACATCAGGATGGCCCTGGGGGTACTGGTGGGAGCTGGGGGCACTGCTGGGTCATGGGTCCCTGGTTGGGAGCTGGGGACACCGGTGAGACCCGGGGGGCACCATGGCTTGGTGCTTGGGGACCAAGTTGTTGGGGACATCAGCATGGCACTGATAGGGACTAGATGACCAGGGGACACTGGCATGGAGGACATGGTGTGGACCCAGTGACCAGCACGGCACTGGAGGGGACCGGTGGGGACATGGCGGGGGGGCAGGCACTAGCCCTGGAGGGGGACACAGGGGGAACCAGCCTGATGGCGCTGGAGGCGCCATGGGGACACTGCTGGGACAGGCACCTGCACTGGGGACAGTATCACGGCAGGGGGTACATGGACGGGCAGATGAGGCCACTGGGGGCCACTGGCAGAATGAAGGGGCAGCTGACGGGGACCAGGACACCAAGCGCTGGCGGGAAGGGACGGAGGGGGCGCGCAATATGGGCATGGAGGGGACTGGGAGATAATGGCAAGAGGAGACTGTCACCAAGGGGGCACCAGGGCACCCCAGGGACTGTC